AAAATTCCCCTTTTTTTTTTTTTTTTTTTTTTTTTTTTTTTTTGGTAATTTAATTGTCGTTTTTCCTGTTGCTCTTGTTACGTCCCTTTTTACTTAATACCGTCGGATCGGTAACCTTCGATCGTTAGGCACGATTCATAGTAATGCTGTATTCGTGGAATCGACAAATACTGGCTTTCCGAGTCCTTCACGGTGGATCGTCGTACCTTTTTGTCTCGTCGCTCTGGACGATCGTGATCTGTAACGGGAGAGATCTTTAAGGGATTATGAAAGTATTAAGATGGAAAAAAAAAAGAAAAATTGGGAATTTCGATCGGAACTAATTATCCGTTGATTTTTGCAATTAGCCCCAGAAGGCTGCTTTTCAGTACGATTCCACCCTGGGCCTTCAACCCTAACCTCTCGTCCTGCCTAATTAGCTCAGTGCTCTCCGGAGTTGATTTGCTGACTTCACGTGTATTAGCCAAAGGTCCCTGGGTGGTGGGATGCTGCGGTCCATGACGTAAAGGTACCATCATCGGGTACACACCGCAGAACTGGGAAAAATTAGTAACGCTTTAATGGCCGACTCTTAAGTGGCAGTTAAGTTTGTTTTTTTTCTTTTTTTTTTTTTTTTTGAGGGGGCAGAAGAGGTAGTAGGGTGACTGAAGGATTTTTCACGGAGACGCCGGTAGGCGCCGGCCACACCTTGGGCGCCGGACGGATTTATTTTGGTAGTGGGAACCGTCAGGATGGGCATAGGTCACCGAGAGAGGCACGTTGGACGAGGACAGAGATCACAGGAAATGTCCCTCTCGTTTGGATCCTGTCGGACACCACCGTCCAAATTGAGATGCTGTGTTCCTTTCCAGTCCTCTCGCTGGTAATAGCGTCCCAGGGCCGTATGTAGTTTGGACCCCCGGACCATCCTTCGAGCTTGGGTCGTTTCTGGTTGACGTGTACCACGTTGGGATTGCGCATGCGCAGGAATAATTTATAAAATATTTAAAAATTTACCGCATGGAAATGATTCTGGACCGGTAGCGCTTTCTCGGAGACCCCTGGAATTATTCGGTGGCTCCATCTGCGACGGTCGTCATCTCTCGGTAGCCGTTACGAAAAAGGTTGCCGACTCGTTGAAAAGCAACGCTACTACATAATACTCTAGAATTACCCGGGCGCAGCACCTCGGGGCAGGTTTCAAACCGCCACACGCGAGTCCGCCTTTACGCGTGCATTCGCCTTGTATTTTTACATATAAACTTTCGTGAGCTCGATTAACGCTTTCGGAAGTCACTGATTTCAAAGTCGATTTACACGGGTCGACGGGACTTTGAGAAAATTTTTTTTAAATCACCTTAAGCTTCGTTTTCAATTTCGATTATTTCAGTCCACCTTTACACGGTACTTATGTTCCGGTAGTTTCACGTGGGTCGTGCTGTCATCTCGTAACTCGAGCTAACAGAGGAAACTGGTTTTCATGGATATTTTTTTCTTTGTCGTCGAAAGATTTCGCGTCATGACGATTCCCCTTTACTTCTATCCTTACCTAACCCAATCAAAGCGAAAGACACTTGGCCGCACCGACTGGTATATAAAATTGCGTGAGAATAAGCGATTCGCGTCCTGAGAGCGTGTTCTCTTCATTCCGGAAGTAGTTCCTCGTCTTCCCACGCTGCAGCGCTGGCTGCATTATAACGGATCGGCCGGGATGTCGCGAAAATCTTCGTGCGCCACGAGCAGCCTCGACGTGACGCGGAGTCACGAGACGATTTCACGTGGAATCAGGCTAATTGGAGTGCGATAACCGAGGATTCGCGTAATCGCGTCTAGGAAACGTTAACTCGTTACCCAGGATTCCACTTCTCTGGGTACAATTTAGATTTTTTCTTTCCTTCTTCCTCTCCCGCCCCTCGTACCTTGTTAGGCGGCATTAAGGACTGACCTAACCTCCTCGACTCGCTCCGTACGTCCCGTGCCAAGTAATACGTCTTTTACATGGCAAAGTATACGTCTTCTTACCTTAAAAATCCATCGTTATCGATATCCACGCTACTTACCCGTCTCTTATAACCTCAATCACCGAGAGCCGACTCGCACATGTCCCGCAGTCAGCGAGGCAAGTAATAATTCGAAAATATGTCGCCCCTTGCTATTATTCCAACGACCCTGCAGCATGTCGTACACAGGCCCTCGTAACCGCAGACCCAGAAACCAGACCCACCGCCATTATAAATGCATTAAGTGTCCCGCCGGCAGAGTTCGCCCTAACCGCGTCTACTGGAGTCTCGACGCATGAATTTTGTCTCTTTTTTTTTTCCCTTCTACCCCACTTTCCTCGAGTCGCGCTCCTCATCTTTCGCGCGTGTCAAGGAAAACTCGAGAAATACCACCGGGTGGTCGTTTCGAGGAATTTTAGTGTGAAACGACCTTAAGGTTATGGACTCTTCATAATTCTCCAAACTTCATTAGAATTTCAAAAAAAAAATCATTGTGATCGCTAGTTACTCAAAAAAAATTTTTTAATATATATACATATAAATCAAAATAAAAAAAAAACTCCGTCGATGAGTCGTAGAACTGATCTAGATTGATCGTAACACGAAGTTTCTCACCCCGCACTGATTTTCACATTCTTCGCCCATTGTGCTCGAAGTTACACAAGGGCTGTAATATTCGAGGGGTTGATTTACTCAAAGCACTCATCCCCGTACCCGATCATTAGCCAAGAAACGATCTTCCGACAATGG